TCCTACGTAATGTCATCCGTGATTAATATATGTTTCTACTTTCCTCATTGCTCACGCGATGTCTTGCTATCTCAAATCGGCCCTTAGGTTTGTGGGATAGCTGCAGCACTTCCTCTCCATTCGACTATTCTTCGCCGTGATATACAGGTGTCCACTTCCGAGTGCAGAGCTGTTCACGTACGCTCAGACAACTATCGTTTGCGTGCTTGCATACCACTACTACATGTCTTGTCCTATTCAGCTCTGCACTTCACGTATTCGGATTACGGAGTAAATCCATTGGACCACATTTAGGCGACTCCTTGATCAATTGTTCTATTAGTGACGCGTTTACGCCTTATCCGCCCTTCATGCGTAGTTTCGTCAAGCCGCCTTGTTACCTCCTTAAAGTTGTTTGTATTTTTCTTAACTCAGGCCAATACTAAAAAGCAAAAATACGAGAGGATCTATGAAAAGAAGATGGCCACTACTCCTGAAGCGCTTTGCAAGGGCTACGCCCCCGAATTTGATAAATACCTCCAGTATGCGCGCGACCTGCATTTTGAGAACCCCCCCGACTACCTATTTCTTCGAGGCTTGTTTCGAAAACTCTTCAAATCCCACGGATTCGCCTGGGACTATGTCTTTGACTGGACTCTGCTGAAACAAAAGGCGAACCCATCCAGTGTCCCTGCAGCTCTACCAAGCGTGAATGCCCTTGCCGCTGCAAACGCTCTTGTAGCCGCCAGAGCCGCTGCTGCTGCCAATGCTCGCCTCACTGGGGACAATGGGGACGCCGTCCAGGGGGTTGGGAACGCAGCAGATAGCGGCGCTTGCGACGCCACTGCGGTCGGCGCCACACTGGGCGACTCAACGCATGCTGCGGGCACGGCTCCAGGCCACCATGGCAATCAGCAATCCATCCTTCAAGGACATGGAGGTGGGCAAAACACAACAAAGCCGTTTGCCTCCGGTATGACTCAGTACTACCAATTCCCATCCTAACTGGAGTTTTAATTCGCGGCCCTATTAAGCGCGAGTTCTTCACACCGACAATATACCCGGACGTGAGGGTGATGAACTTCCAACCGGTCCTAATCGGGCCGGGCTGCCCGAATGTCCGACTGCCACACCGTCTTTCGATCTCCATTCAACTTCCTGCTTCGACTAATCTGCTTCACTGTTAGTTCACAATATCCTGAATTTGAGTCGGATGTCTCAGGCACCCATCAAGAAAAACCCAGTTGATTTAGTTAACAAGAACCAGCATCGCCGGACTCCTCGCCAACCTCAAAGATGTATAGCCCCCGCAGTGCTAGTGACCCTTGACTTTTCAGTCCCATTTTGTCCATTCGTTTTACCAATAAACAACTAACCATTAAATAATGCTTCCTATATATATGTACACGAACGAGTGGCATTATTGGGTGGGGCGGAGTTTGGTTATTGACATCTAGATGATGCTACAAGGAAAGCGAGCACCCAGTAATGTGATCATCGAGTGCTAGGTCTAAAGAATCAATGTTGGCAGCAATGCCGTCCACCTTCCTTGGTCGAGAACGGCGGGTACCAGGGCCCGTTAGACGGCTATGGGCTCAATTAGATCCGAGGGACCGAGGTCGGAAATAGGCTAGTGAGATCTACCCATCAGTGAAGCATAGAATGCTGAAACATTGGAAGAATAGGAGAATATATTAAAAGCGAAATGTTGTAATGAGAACAGGCTCGCTATGCATGTGTGCGCGAGGATTAGCGAAAAGAGATAAGCTCGACGTCAAAAAGAAGTGTGGCATTCTTCGGGATGACGCCGGGGTAGCCTGCTTCTCCATAAGCGTAGTCAGGCGAACATATCAGCCTTGCGCGCTGACCAAGGGACATTTTAGAAACACCCTCATCCCAGCCCCTTATAACCTTTGTGGGGAAATAAAATGCAATGAACCTACCTCACCCTTCCCAAGAACAAATTTGAAGGGCTGCTGTCTATCTCTGGACGAATCGAATTTCTTTCCGTCAGTAAGAGTGCCAGTGTAATGGACAACAACGGTCTGCCCATTTTTGGGAAAAGACACTCCGTCACCGGGCGTAATCGTCTCAACCTGAACTCCCATGGAGGGCGGCGGTACGCAAATAAACCGCGGGGTGAGGTCAACAAAGTGTCGCTTATAGCATAATTAAAAACAATTGTGTTATAATTATTATAAATTAATTTTTTAAGTAAGTATACATTTGTATTTGTTTTTGTGTTTAAATTTATTGTTCTATGGGTCTATTCTATCTTTTCAATTGCCTCGCGTTGGCTACCGGGCCTTACGTCCTGCTTTACAAATCGTCCGGAATGTTAGTTAAACTTTATTTTAATCAAACAGACGTGAGAATGACGGTCTTTCCAAATGCATCAACGTCGCGGTCGTTTACTGCCTTTCTCAATTACTCAAAATGTTTCTCACCACTTTGATGCCCCAGAACATTGTTCTCCCACTAGTGCTTAAACAGATCTTATATGTACGCGATATAGAATTATAAAGTTGCCAATAGGATGCCTTGGGCGCTGGTGTTGATCTCACGGCCTCATTTTACTTCTTCTTGAGAATGATGGGACGTCAAGAATCCGCCGTCACTATCGTGACGATGGGCTGGACAGTGTCTGAGCTGATCCTGACGAAGTATGAATCTAACATCAATTTTATTTTTTAGATATGTTCCTATTTGGTCTGGGACTCGTGAGTTGGAGTTCAACTGGTTTTTCTTACAGCTGAGTTTTGAGGCGAACCTTGACCTGGTTAGACTACCTTATTCATGCATTTGCAATTTCAGATTTTCTACTTTAGTTCGTTTCAACTGACTTGGTTAATGCTAAGAAGAGAGGCCTCAGCAGTATATTTGCCGACCAGTATCTTTCTCATTGGGGCTGTATCCTTGCGTCAGACATTATTCAGGTAAGC